AAATAACAATGCAGCACTCTCTATTTTTATTTTGCAAAGTAACACAATGTATATTTGTTTTATCTCCCTTCTTTCCTACGAAAAAAAATAATAAGTATTTTGATTTCCTTAGAAAGGTAAATGCAGTGATCTAACGTTACTGAGTAGGAAACAACAAAGGATCAACAATACTTGCGGTATTCATTTAGGTTGATAGTTATACAAAGTTGGTGGATTTATCTAGGTCCTATTTCGTGATTAAATCAATTGAATTTATCTAGGTCGTTCCGTATATAAAACTGATTTAGATCAAATTTAGTAAGCTGCATCAGTGAAGCAAAAATAGAGTTAAAAAAAAAAAAGTAAGTCGTAAGAAATTTTTGTGTGAGTTTCATCAATGAAATCTTCTGATTCTATCTATCATAGAAATCGAATTTGTTTGTGAATTCGATTTCGAAATCGATAAAAAAATTTTATTTAAGTCAATTTCATTAATGAAATTGAGCAAAATTTTCTTTTTCTTGAATTATTTTTTTTTTCAAGAAAATAAAATGAGAAAAATTTAATATTTTTACACAATTTCGTGATAAAAATCGAGCAAAAAAAACTTTTTTTTTCTATCGATTTTTGTTAAGAATTAAATCGAATTGTTATTTTGTAAGAATCTTCAAAATATTTATTTTTTTTTTGGAAAATTCTTTATATTCTTTTTTCTACATCATAGAGCACAATGGCGTAGTCTCTTTCAGGTGTGCAGTAAAGAACAATGCTGGATTTTTAAGACCTTCTAAGACCCGAGGCACAGAAGATTAAAGACCCACTACGTAATTTTATGACATAAACTAGTTGTAATTACAGAATGATTTATAAATTATGTTATACAATTGTTATACCTAACCCATTGCCTAATTGTATAGGCTACCTAATAGATTGTGTATACCTATGCCCAAGTTGTCTACTTGGACAATCAGGCACTGGTTAGAAAACAAAATAAGTATATATTATTAAAATATTTTGCTTTAAAGATTATTTTTAAAGATATTTTTGACAGCAGACATGAAACTTGAAGGAGTTTTTTTTTATCGTATAACAAACTGATGTTTATCAAGTATCATTTTTCTTTAATAAAAACCCAGTATATAAATAAAAAACAATCAATAAAATATCTTTATAGGTGTTTTAAACGGATAAAGAAGAATAACATAAAAATAGATACAGACGTGAAGTAAATTAATAAAACATAAAGCAAAAATGCATCCAATATATATTAATTTTAAAGCATCGAACTATAAAATTTATCCATTTAGTTTTATATGGAAGGGAATATTCTTTTGAGAAAGTTGCATAATACATCTTGATTTGCTTTATTGATAGAAAAGTAGTATCGAAGAAGCGTGTTCTCTTCCACCAACAAACCATCGAATGAATATTTTACAAGATAAACTGACAAAATAAATTTCCGACGTTTCCCCCCGACTGAAAGATTGATTTTGGTTATATTTGACCGCAACAAATTTATATAAACGGAAACAGAAAAAAATATATATATATATTAAAATTTAATGTATTTTTTTCCCTTCTTTCCTCTCCATCTTCCTCCCCTCTACACTAATTGATGAGAAAACAAACATTTGAAAGGTGAATAAAGTAGTCTTTCATGCAAAATTAAATTTACGATCAACGTTAAAAGGAACATAGACAACAAACAACATTTATATTCTTAATACTTAAAATTATAATGAAAACTTAAAGCCATTTATCATATTTAATTTAAATATATTAATCAAATTTAACTTCCGTGTAATAAAACTTAAATAAATAATTCAAAGAGGGGGGAGTAGAGAGAGAGAAAGAGAAAGAGAGAGAGAGAGAGAGAGAAACGATATCGGTTACGAATTCCTGATAATATCATACTTGTCTATCTTATGTTATTAATTACTAAAATTAACAATTCAGATTACAACATTTAGGAACCACTTCTCTCCAACATTTCGTAATAGTAATAAACTCTACCAGCAAACATTATTGTGCATTGGCGAAATTAATATGTTGCTTCGTATAGTAACTCTTGTTGCTTTCCCTCCTTCTTCCTCCTCCCCGCATTCTTATCTTAATAACATTAAACTGGGAAATTGTTATTTGTTAATAATTAAATATCTTTTCGAGTAAGAAAAATTAATATCGTCTTGAGTACAAAAGTAAAATAAATTTAGCAACCAAGACTTTAGCTGATCTTTTACATCTGGCTGAACAAACTAATGAAATTACCTTTTCATTGTTGCTGCCAAATGAAAACTTTAGCAGTCTTCATTTAGTGAAATATAAAAATTTCGAACTGTTCTCTACCCCTTAATTAATATAACGAATGTAATTAAATATATATATATATATATAGCTTATATATATAAAGTTACGTTTTTCCCTATTTTTATAATAATACTCGGATTATATTATTTAATTAAATCTGAATTAATTTCGTGTGAAATTATTCTTTTTTTCCTTTGTCTCCCGTGTGTGAATGAGGGGGGAAGTTAAGTTTTAAAATACAATATATATATAAAGTTAACTGTAGAGATAAATATTAGATATCACGTGGGATATCTTCATTTACGCTTGAAGAATTGCTTTAAAGCTTTAAATAGTATTTTAAAGTTTAGACAAAACTTTTACGTTCGACTGAAATAATGGTGTTGAAATTTCAACCAGAATCCGCCATTTACAGGAAGTTGCCATCGCTAACTCAATGGTTTGGCAAAACCTTACTTTTCCAGTTCTTTCAAGTAAAGTAAGCTCTCTCTCTCTCTCTCTCTTTCTCTCCCTCCTCTTCTCTCTCTCTCTCTACTTGAGTCCATTCCATGCATGCGAGCATTGATAATATAGCACAGCAAGATGGTGCCAGGTGGTAGTTTCACATTGCTTCTGCCGTATTTCCAGCCAAGTACATCAGAGAAGACCTTGCTAGCTAGATATTTAGCCTTTACTATCGATCCAGTGTCATTTGCTTAGTGGAAGATAAATAAAAGAAAATTAAACGCTTCTAATAGAAGAAGGGTATCCAACATTGGTCAGCCAAAAAGATTCTCTCCTAGCGCTTTATCTCCCAATTAAATGTGTTCTTAACCCCCAAGAAAATTCTTCTTGTTAAAGAAAAGAAAAACATCTCAAACCTGTAAAAAGAATATCTTGAAAGTAATCACTTTTAGGTGGGGAAAAAGGGAAGAAAGGGGAAAAAAAGAAGAAGAACCACCAAGTTTGGATTCTTATTTAACAGATGGATGTGGAGCGAAGGAAATTTCGTCACGCCATTAACAACAGATTGATTTCAGCTAAATTAAAAAGTAATTTATTATATAAATAAATTCTAAACAAAAGAGGAAAACACTTCTTCTCTCTTTAAACCTTCTACAGAAATTCCCTTATTATAATACCATAAAATATATACATTAATATACATAATTTCTCAATATAAAGACTTAAAATTCGAGAATATTTTAGAAGAAAAAAATTTAAAAGATTTACCACAGGAAAAAAAAAACTTTTTAAGGTGATATTCGTTAAGGAAGGGATTATTACGAACATTACTAATTTGTTTAAAAAGTGTAGTATATTTTTTTTTAATAAAAAAAATTACAGTATTAAAATTAATCAACTTTGTAACAGCTGTTAAAGATTCACTGAATGGAAAATTAAACGTCTTCAATCGATTAACATAAAACAGTTGAGGTATGCAGTAATGGTTGTTACTGTTCTTCAATGTATGAACATGTCGTTTACCATGATTGTCGATTGTTACAAACTGAGAAGTAGATTTGCATTTTTTCTTTATTTTTTCTTGACACAAACATTCAGAAATTATTTAATCCGTAAAATTCGACTATTCTACTTCGATAGTTTAAGTTGAATTTGCATGCAATCCGCTTACATTTTTGTAATGACTACACAATACTTCCTCTTTTTTTTCCACTTCTTCCTCCTCCTCCTCCTCCTCCTCCAACCTCATCTTAAGAGAGGAAGATAAGACTTAAAGGCAATATAAAAAAAAAGGATGTGGAGATTTTTACTTTATTTTTTTTTTATTTGATATTTTAATGAATTGGTACTTAGGTATTTAAGTATTTATTAAAAGTATCGATCCTGGTATTCTATTAGTAAACGTTCAAAATCGGATATTTAGTTGCAATTATCGTACAAGTGCAGAGAAATCATTGATTATTGAAAGCTATTTCGTAGAAAATTGTCTATAATGACTATTTCAAACTTTAATTAGAAAATCATTTTGTAAACGTTATACAAAATTTATTTGTGATATTTCCATTTGTGAGAAAACTCCTCTTCAATTTCCCTCAAAAATCCAATTTGTGATATCGAAATTCTTTATAAAAAAAATAATAATATATATATATATATATATATTCAATTTTTTATGGGAAACTTAAGTTAAAATCACCGAACACGTGGGTTCGCGNATGTATTTTCCCTTTTTTTTTCTTCGGGTTTTTTTTATTGTAAAAAAAACTTAAAAATTTAAACGTCTATTCACTTAAAGTATTAAAAAATTCGACAATAAAAGTAAATAAATGGATAAAAAAATTTTTTTTTTCTGAGTGATAATTTGGAATTTCGCGAGGATAATTTATTTATCTACTTCGTTATTAAATTACAACTTGGCTTACTTATAAAAATTATATTTCGTGCTTCGTTTCGTTAATTGTATATCTTTATAAATGTTTAATTTATATTATTTATACTTTAAAATGTATTTTAAACGTAATTTACAGTAGCTAATTAATACAAGTAATTATTCTATATGGAGTGTAAAAAATTAAATAGATAAATAGGTATTTAAATTTGCTAAAAATCTCAATTTATCTTATCATTAATAGTCTATAACTTATATATATATATATAATTAGGATAGGTGCTTAAATACATTAAAATCTTTAAATATTATACCATAAATGGCTTATATATATATGTATAAAGTTGTAGATGGTTAGGGATGATCTCACAGAACATCTTACCATAAATACGTATGTCGTTCTCTTCTCGTATTGTTTGAAAAGATGGAGATTCTGCAGATACTTCGCAACGATAAGTACCTTCTGTATACAGATCCGTTCTGTATAAATACAAGTGGCCTTGATAGGATTTTGCTAACTGAAAAAGTAGAATAAGAAAATGGAATTTAAATTTCCTAAATAAGATTTAGAATATTTTACACAATTTTTTTAAAATTCTACTACTACTTACATCTAAGTATACTCCCACTTGTTCATATTTCTGTGCTGGAGGTTGGTCACTTGGTAAATATCGATAGAATTCGACGTTGTTTTTGTACCACTTGACCGAATACAATTCGTCCGATTCCAAATCGAACGAACAATTTAACCAAACTGAATCACCTCGAAAAACAGCCCCAGGCACGTCTAACTTCACCAATCTTAATCCAAATATACCTAGAAATTAAAGGTTAAAAATTTCTTAAATAAAACTTCTTACGTGTAGAGATGTAAGATATAAAATAAATAAATAAATATAAAAGAGATAAAGGTATATAATATAAAAGTTTTGTAAGTAAAATTAATAACGAAAGGGAAATTGTTCAGGAGAGAAAATCGATACATTCGTAATCTTGCTGCAATGATACTTTTAAGAGAAATTGGATGATAAATGGAGAAGTGCAATTAACCAATAAGATCAGGAATGGAAGTGTGGATTTATACATATATTTTAATGTATTTGAAAGGAGAAAATGTGAGAAAAGGGAATGAGATATTAAGTCGTTCTAGAAGATAATTACGGATACAACAATACTATTTTAACTCGGATTTCTGTCTTTATCATTGCATTTTTCGTATAAATAATCATTTTTAAATGCACTAAATTAAGCATTTCATACTTATTTTATCTAATTTATAGAATTATAAATTAGATAAAATAAGTATGAAATGCGTTAAATTAAGCATTTCATACTTATTTTATCTAATTTATAGAATTATAATTATTATTCTTTACCAGTTTAATGCATTAAGTATAAAATATACCAAAGTTCATTGAAGAAAAAGAAGAAAAATATATGCTTTAGTTCGGTTCTTTTAAAGGAGAATAAATAGAATTCTTTTGAAAGACTTAATACAAATGTATATCTCTTTAATTCTTCTACAATATTGTATTGCTATGCGATATGAATTTCGATTCTATATGAAAGATATTTTGAGAAAAGCATCTTCAACTTCATTTCATATTTCAAAGATATTCTAAAATGAATTTCTACTTTACAATTTGGTCAATAGAAATACCATCGCATGCCACATACCATCACAACGATACCATTATATAAAGCATATTCTATCGTAGAATTGTATATAAGAAGAACATATTTACGCATAGGCAAACATCATTTTTTTTTCTTCAGATCTCTCCAGCATTTTTTACCTCTCATCATTTATCCACTGCTCCATTTTCAATATACCAGACCCACACTTTGAAAACATACCATAGATCCAGAATAGATCTTTTCAAATCCTTTAAACACTCCTTCTTATCAAATATATAAAACTGACATGTTTGATATATGTTACATTTATTCAAAGAAACATGTCTCCTACCTCTCGTACCTGTAGACCCCTCTAAAAATCGAAATTAAACTCGTACAACGTGATCCATCTTCTACACAATTCTTATCCCTTATAAATATATATTGTATAATTAATTATATATATACACGTGTATAAAGAGTTTACAATTATCTTTATTTATTTTTTATATAAGCCAATATATATTCCATTCCTTTATATAAAAAGGAATTCTCTAGAGTTGCTTGCTATTGTAAAATTTAGTTTATTTTGGAACGTAGTTTGATCGTCTTGGGAATTTTTAAATATTTTTTTTTCCTATTTTTATACTGTAAAATTTGGAATATTCTGTTAAAGGAATATAATAGAAGAAGGTAAAAAAAAGAACTCAGTAAATTCTATACGTGATTCAAAATTTCAATTTAGTTTCTTTAATATATTTTTCTTTCTTTTATTATTATTATTATTACTATTATTACTATTATTTATTTATTTATTTTTTCCCTAAAAAATCATAGATGCATTTCTTTTGTAAATATTATAATAGTATCCCCGTACAAAATTCAAAATAACTTTTTATTGTACTCCTGAATATATTTATGAAATATTCTAAAGTGCAGAAACGACTTTTATCTGTATTCTAGAATAAATTTTTTGACTATTTCTTGTATTTTTTTTTTGGTGCTTTATATTTATATTTATATTTAACACTATAGTAAACAATATGCCTACGTTTTCTCTGATCTAAATAATGAAGTTTGCATCTCGAATTCTTCAGTTAATTTGGAAGTAAAAAGTTTCTATGTCTAAGTCCATTATATATATATATATATATACAGTTGAACATCCTATAACGACCATCTTCCAACAAAGGCCACTTCTAAACGGTAGCCATTTTTTAAACAAAAATGTGTACAAAATAATTGCTATACAAGACTTGTATAGAAGAATGGATATAAATATACACTAGCACAAATTATAGAAACATCTATACAGGTACTGAGCAGGGATGGAGCTTACTGATGTGTCTAGGATGAAGAAAGAAAGAGGGTGAGGGAATAAGGAAGAACTCAATAGAATACTGAGAAAAAAGAGCCTAATGGATGATTTGGCAGGAAGGCAGGAAGAGAGTGGAGTGAGAAAAGAGAAAGGCTCAGTAGGGTATTGAACAGGAGAAGAGCCTACTCAAAAGTCTAGGCTGAAAACAAGAAAAGAGTGAGGGAATGAGAAAGCGAATAAGTAAGAATAGAGAAAGTCTTGGTAGGTCTCAGTAGGCTCTCTTCCTACTCGAAGATCCAGGCTGAAGAAAAGAAGTTAATGACAGAAGAGGAAAAGGATAAGAAAGAGAAGAACAGTAGAGTGACTATTCAATGGTCTCTTTTCCTATCAACCTATTCAATGGTCTCTTTTCCTATCAGCCTATTCAATGGTCTCTTTTCCTATCAGCCTATTCAATGGTCTCTTTTCCTATCAACCTATTCAATGGTCTCTTTTCCTATCAACCTATTCAATGGTCTCTTTTCCTATCAGCCTATTCAATGGTCTCTTTTCCTATCAGCCTATTCAATGGTCTCTTTTCCTATCAGCCTATTCAACGGTCTAGGCCGATAGGAAAAGAGTGAGAGAATCAGAAAGAGGAAAAAAAATGAAGAAGATCTCAGTAGGATAGGAGGAAGAGAGCCTACTCAAGGATCCAAGCTGAAGAAAGGAAGGGCGTGAGGGAGTGAGAAAGAGAATAAGAGGAACAAATGTATGAATCATATAAATGAATAAATATATAAATAAATTTGAACTAAAAATTAATAAATTATATAATAAGAAGAATAAAATCATATTATGAATATTTTTAAAAAAGATAAATCTTGTAAAGAACGATTAATAATTAACGCAACGGAACATACAGTACTTTCTTACGTAAGAAATAGAATAAAAATTTCTTAATCAGTTAAATTTTTTTCAAAAAATTTATAATAATAATAATGTAAATAAATAAATAGATTTAAATGAAAAAGAAATCAATTACGTAGAAACAATGGAATTACAACAGATTTGAATTACAAATGTAATGGAAATGATCACGTGGTCGTTGATGGAGAAGCAACAAAAGAAAGATTAAAGATAAAAAAAAAACAAATAAAAGTAAATGAAATGAGAGTTGAAATTTGTTAAGTGAAAAACCCGAAAGTTTAATTACAAAGATAACGCAAGTAGAACATACTTTTATGGAATTATTTTCTTTTTATTATTATTCAATTTTTGTAAAAGTTGAGTTCCTTTCAATTTTCATCTTGTATTTAACACAGACAGAAAAGAATGGGGGGGGGAATGAATAAATAGGATTATTATTGATTTGGACATTTAGAACTTGCTAGATTAAAAATAAAATAATGGGAAAAAAATAAAATAAAATAATTTTTCTTAAAATCTAAGCAATGATTGCTAGTAATTCAACAGAAGCTTGGAAGATACCAAGATTTATTCATAGAGGAAAATTAAATTAATATAGACAAAGAAACAAGAATTTCTACCATTTTCAGCTCTCCAAATAAAAGAATTTAGAGAATTTCAATGATTAATGAGAGTGATTAGAATGTTGAAGAATGTTTCCCATTTTCTATTCAAATCGAAGAATTCAGGATTTTAAAAATATTTTCTAATCCTTAAAATGTTTCATTACATTCTAACCATTTTTAAACTTTGTATATATATATATATACTTTTTAATCTAGAAGCTTAAAGATTTAATCTATAAGCTTATATAAATTATGTAAATCATCAGGGATGCTGGAAGAAACTTTGAATTTGCATTGTTTTTATGTATTGCCTTTAAAAATTTCTTCGAGTAATAAAGAGGGTATAAAAACTAACGTTATGTAATATTCCATCATAAACTGTTTTTAGAACATTTATTCCATCTGAACAGACAGTTTCTATCCAGATATATGACATAAGAAGACATACAATATATCCAGACTTTTGAGAAGTTACCTAGAGAAAGACGCCACAATTCATGTTTCTTTGTGTTCCTTTGCTCATATACTATCTTCTCTTTAAAGAGAACAAAGGAAATATATTTTACGACATCAATAAGGAAGAAAATGATACTAGAAAACTGTCCCACCTATATCTAGATCTACTAAGAGTTATAGCTTATTATATCTGCCTTTTTCTACTTCTAATCTCTTGTTTCGATAATATTATAAATTAAAATATTTTAATAGTTTATTTAAAAAGTTTTCGACTAAAATAGAAAAGTTTTTCGTTCATTCACCCGTGTTTATTTTATCTCTTTTATAAAATTTTTCATTGGGCTGCAATTTGAAAAAATTGTAGACACGTCCCGCTGTTTGTTTTCTGTCTGTCCTTCCTTAATCTTGAGAATAATACTAGATATATGAAAACTAAAATACATATAGAAAATATAGATGTAAAAGGCCCCGATTAACTATATATAAACTTTGTTACTTGATTTAAATTCAACATTTTCCCCCGAAACGGATGATCGGCACTACTCTGTTGTTATCAGGAAAAGTATGATTTACAGGGGCAAGACACTACTAATTTGAAGTGGAGAGTATTTATTTAAATTAAAATAATTTAAGAATATGGTTAAAAATTTCAGTACGGCATTTTGATGACGTCACAATAATTTTTTGCTCGTTTATTTTATAAACAAATGTCATTTTTAAGTAAAAAAAAAAATTAATTAAATATATATACTGTATATGCTCACAATAGCGTAACTGATAAGAGGACCCCTTTCTCACTAGGGCTGTTTATTTATTGGGTCTTAGGCTCATAAATAAAAGCCCCTTTAAGGGTTCCTGTCCTTCTTTCTAAATAAACAAATGAAGAGATGTGACAAGCCCATTTACACACGT